TAAAGTAAATTTGAACGTGTTCATATTCTTCTGTTTGACTGATTATCAGTGTCTCAGTTTAGGCCGAAAAGAATCCTGTCTTAACTTGTTGGCTATAACTGAAAGGGAAGACATACATGAAGAGAACAAATACAGAACAGAATAACAGAATTGAAAGGGACCTTGGAGGTCTTCTAGTCCAACCCCCTGCTCAGGCAGGAGAACCTGTACCAAGAGGATAGAAATATTGATGTGTCATCAAAATGTAGTAGAAGAAGCAGTCGTAAAAGTAACTCTCAAAAACATTTTGGAAGGTTTGAGAGTCTGGCTTATTCAATACCCCCTGACTCACTTTTATTTCTCTTTATTTTATTTAGTTTACTAATTTCCCTTTCCTGAAATACAATAAAGATTTAATATCTAGCCATCTTTCTCCTGATCTCAAAAGACCGATCTCTCAGATATTTGACTCAGAAGCTGGCACTTGGGAGGACAGATCCATGGTTTTCATATTGTGCCAGTTCTGATATAGATATTGAAGTCTCTTGGATTGCTTCAACAGTGCTAAACCAGCCAAATTCACCATCTGATGGAGTTACCTAGTTTGGGTAATGAAATGTCGGCAGGAAATAAACCAAGTTGATAGAGCACCAAGATCCCTCATTTCAAACCCCAGCTATTCTCCTTTAAAGTCACTATCTCCTTACTGTGCCAAGTTCTGACTCTCCACTGCATCTTAATAAACAAAGATGAAAGTGGGTCACACTCTTTTGTTTTTTAAATAAGCCATGACAATAATAGATAAGACCTTGTGGACAATTACTTAAATAGAAAACAGCAGTGTGCAGCAGCTGCCAAAAAAGCCAACCCAATTCTAGGCTGGATTAACAGAGGGATAGAATCAAGTTCAAGTGAGGTGTTAATAACACTTTATAATGCCTTGGAAAGGCCACACTTGGAATATTGCATCCAGTTTTGGTTTCCACAAGGTAAGAAAGATGTTGAGACTCTAGAAAGAGTGCAGACAAGAGCAACAAAGATTATTAGAGGATTGGAGGCTAAAATACTGTATATAAAGAACAGTTGCTGGAATGGAGTATATATAGTTTAATGAAAAGAAGGACTAAGGGAGATATGATAGCATTTTTCCAATATCTCAGGGCTGCCACAAATAAAAGGGAGACAAGCTATTATTCAAAGCACCTGAAGGCAAGACAAGAAGCAATGGATAGAAGCTAATCAAAGAGAGAGGCAGTCTAGCACTAAGGAGAAATTTCCTGACAGTGAGAACAATTAACCAGTGAAACAATTTGCCTCCAGAAATTGTGGTGCTCCAACACTGGAAGTTTTTAAGAAGAGATTGGACAGCCATTTTTCTTAAATGCTATAGGGTTTCCTGCCTGAGCAGAGGTTGGACTAGAAGACCTCCAAGGTCCCTTCCAACTCTGTTATTCTGTTAAGACATTAGATAAGATCAGCCTAGGTACATATTAATTAGACCAATATTTTTATTGTCGATTTTGTTGAATATTGTTGAACTGTTGAATATTGTTGAACTGATTAAAGAGGATGGAGAATGTAACCTAATAACTTTGGATATCAATTTTCAAAGTGGTTCTGGGATATGTCAATAGTGTCTTGAACCATTTTATTATATTTTGAAGATATATCCAGGAATACATATCAGTATTGCTTCTGTTTGAAGAAAACCATAGGGAACAGTTTGAAAGTTTATTTTGTTGCCCTGCACAGGAGAATGCAACTGGAAAGCAGGTTAGTGGGGTGGGGAGGGAATGGGATTTTGTAGTAACTTTCCCCCAGGAGTGGGGAAAGAATGGAGATTTTACAGTATCCTTCCCCTGCTACGCCCACCAAGCCACACCATGCCCACCAAGCCATGCCCACAGAACCAGTAGTAAAAAAATAAAAATGAATCCCACCATTGGTTCCAACTCATCATGGGACATAAGGATCAGCAGAATATTCATTTATCATTTTCCCTTCAGGTTCAAAGTTGCTTGTCCATGATCACATTGATTAAATATGAACAGAATGCTATTTAATCAATGTGATCATCTCAGAATTCATCTCCCACTGGATGTCCCATCAGGGAGACCATCAAGGACAACACAGAGACAAAAAGACATCTACTTCCATGTGTTATTGCTAATACACAGCAGAGTTAATTGTTTCTCCTACAATTACTCCATAATTATAATTGGTTTCATTGATCAGACTGCCAACAATTATCCACAAGGTAAGAAGAGAATAATCAATATGTGATATGCAGTGGAGAAAGACTTTATAATATGCAAGTATTCTTCATGGAAAAGGGGACTCTCTATATATATAGTTCTGCCCCGTTTTGAACAGAAATGGTTTCAGATCATTAAACTGCTTTGTGGCTTTAAAGAAAAAAAAAACTATATCTTTGTTGTGTTTGCTGTGCAAAGTCATATTGAGATACCTTGCTGCTTTGTCTCTAAAACAGGTGACAAAACCTGGAATCATATGCAGCAGGCTCTTTTCTGCAGAAAACACATCTGCAAGGATGGTGAGACTCCTAGCACTGATCCTTTGGGTATCCCTTGAAGAGTGCAAAAGAGTGTCCAGAAAGTGCCCTCGAAGCCAATTCTTCATTGTTCCTCATGACTGGTATCAGCCAGGGATGCTTCTCATTGGTGGGATGGCATCTCAGGTCATTTATGTATTTAATGAAGTTTTCTTCAAAAATATCCCTTCACAAGATATTGGCTTTGATCTTCCAGTGTAAGGAACTCAACCTTCCTTCCCAAAACAAGTACTACTCAACTGCTGTGTTGAGATATGTCACAGTGTTGGTGCGGTGTCAGGGGTTTTCAACTCAATGTGTGGAATGTGAAGGATGTGTGTTTGTGTTTATTTTCATGATCATGATATGTGCTGAAGATGGTGTTTGATTTCATTGTATGAGGTGCAATGACAATAAAGTAAAGTAAAGTAAACTATAAATAGTCATGTGTAGTAAATAAAAACATAAAGCAAGTTATTCTCCCCACCCTGCTATAGGGTATATTCAAGTGATCTTATTTCTGTCAATGTCATTTTCCAGACTGCTTACAGTCACTTACTACTTTGATATAAGCTGTAGTTTTTTTTTATTATCACTCATTTTTCTTCTTAATAAACATTAATTCAGTGTTATCGTCATCTTGTTGCATATACAGTATTATGTTAAATTACAGAAAGGAATTTTGATAAATTGGAGAAAGTAATGTTCCATGTCTGCCATGTCTGGAAGAATATACGAAATCTGGGAATATGGATGAAAAAGATTTTAAAAACGACAAAATGGAATGGAATGGAATGGAATGGAATGGGATGGAATGGAATAGAATAGAATAGAATAGAATAGAATAGAATAGAATAGAATAGA